CTTCGCCTTGTGCCATGTTGTCGCTATGGTTTCGTGCTTGAAGAGCGATGTGACGAGGTTCCGCAGGAGCGCTTGACGATGCGACGACGACCGGCTGAGGTGGCGATATTTCATGTGACCGCCTGCCATGACGGGCAATTGGTTCTGTATAGGCCGGAAGGGGCGTGGAGGGTCTTGAAGTTGCTGCACTACCTCAACCTCTTGCACGCCGCGATACTGTCGCCCGCGAAAAGTTCGGGCATCGGCGGTCGCTTCCCCGACTCCACATCCCTGCCACGCCTGCTCTGCTTATGCAAGCAGCCACTTTAGCACTAAACGGATCCGTGACCCAAGCAACGCGACGGGACGCGTTTCTTCTCTTTACGCGTTATAAGTGTCCCTGCGTCCACCCACCCCTCACTCCTGCACTCTCCTCAGTACACCCTCTTCACGATACCCACACAGATACCCCCACTACTTTTCTAATTCAACATGTTCGTCCTCAAGCGTGGTATGTACTGCTTTGCCTTCACCGCCTCAAATCTTCACCACTAACGATTGACTCCAGATGGACGCAAGGAACGCGTGCAGTTCGACAAGATCACAGCACGAGTCTCAAGGCTGTGTTACGGCCTCGACCCAGACCATGTTGACCCCGCCGCCATCACCATGAAGGTCATTTCTGGTGTCTACCAGGGTGTCAACACCGTCCAACTAGACGACTTGGTACGGCTCTCGATGAGTTCAATGTCTTTCCAGTGGCTAACAGACGACAGGCCGCCGAGACTGCCGCATACATGACCACCACACATCCCGACTACGCCATCCTCGCTGCGCGTATTGCCGTATCAAATCTTCACAAACAGACACAGAAGCAATTCTCTGTAGTTGTAGAAGAGCTGTACAACTATGTCAACCCCAAGAACAACACCCGCCAACCCATGATCTCTGATTACATCTACAAGATCATCATGGACAACGCCGACGAGCTCAACTCGGCTATAGTCTACGACCGCGACTTCAACTACCAGTTCTTCGGCTTCAAGACGCTTGAGCGCTCATATCTCCTCCGCATCAACGGCAAGGTCGCCGAGCGCCCACAACACATGCTTATGCGTGTCGCTGTCGGTATTCACGGAGCCGACATTGAGAAGGCCATCGAGACCTACGACTACATGTCTCAAAAGTACTTCACACACGCCTCGCCGACACTGTTCAACGCGGGTACACCATCGCCACAAATGTCGTCATGCTTCCTCATCGACATGAAGGAGGACAGCATTGACGGTATCTACGACACACTCAAGACATGTGCGTTGATCTCCAAGACTGCCGGCGGTATTGGTCTCAACGTCCACCGCATTCGTGCTACTGGCTCATACATTGGTGGCACCAACGGAACATCCAACGGTCTCATCCCTATGCTCCGTGTGTACAACAACACTGCTCGCTATGTCGACCAAGGTGGCAACAAGCGTCCCGGTGCTTTCGCCATCTACCTCGAGCCGTGGCACGCCGACGTCTTCGGCTTCCTCGACCTGCGCAAGAACCACGGCAAAGAGGAGGTCCGTGCTCGTGACCTTTTCTACGCTCTATGGATTCCCGACCTGTTCATGAAGCGTGTCCAAGACAATGGAAACTGGACACTCATGTGCCCCAACGAGTGCCCCGGTCTTGCCGATGTCTATGGTGATGAGTTTGAGGCTCTGTACGAGAGCTACGAGAAGCAGAACAAGGGTCGTGAGACTGTCCGCGCCCAGAAGCTCTGGTACGCCATCCTTGAGGCTCAGACCGAGACTGGTAATCCCTTCATGCTTTACAAGGATGCTTGCAACCGCAAGAGCAACCAGAAGAACCTCGGTACCATCCGCAGCTCCAACCTGTGCACCGAAATCGTCGAGTACACTGCTCCTGATGAGGTTGCCGTCTGCAACTTGGCTTCTCTTGCCCTGCCTTCCTTCGTCGACTACAAGCGTGGCGAGTTTGACTTCAAGAAGCTCCACGAAGTCACACAAGTCGTCACCCGCAACCTGAACAAGATCATCGAGGTCAACCACTACCCAGTCGAAGAGGCACGCCGCAGCAACTTCCGCCACCGACCCATCGGTATGGGTGTTCAGGGTCTCGCTGATGCCTTCCTTGCCCTCCGCATGCCTTTCGAGTCTAATGAAGCGAGAAAGCTCAATATTCAGATCTTCGAGACCATCTACCACGCTGCTCTCACTTCCTCATGCGATATTGCAAAGGAACTTGGTCCCTACGAGACCTACCCGGGATCTCCCGTCTCTCAGGGTCAACTGCAGTATGACATGTGGGGTGTCGAACCTACGGACCTTTGGGACTGGGCTGCCTTGAAGGCAAAGATCGCTGAGCACGGTGTACGCAACTCCTTGCTCATTGCGCCTATGCCAACTGCGTCTACATCACAGATTCTGGGCAATAACGAGTGCTTCGAGCCATACACATCCAACATCTACTCTCGCCGTGTGCTTGCGGGTGAGTTCCAGGTCGTCAACCCATGGTTGCTCAAGGATCTCGTCGACATGGGCCTCTGGTCTGAGAACATGAAGAACCGTATCATCGCTGATGGCGGTTCCATTGCCAGGATTCCAAACATCCCCGAGGAGACCAAGACGCTCTACAAGACCGTGTGGGAGATCTCGCAGAAGAGGATCATTGAGATGGCCGCTGACCGTGGTGCATTCATTGACCAGTCCCAATCTCTCAACATCCACATGAAGGAGCCTACCATGGGTAAGATCACTTCCATGCACTTCGCTGGCTGGAAGGCTGGTCTCAAGACTGGCATGTACTACCTCCGCACCATGGCTGCTTCAGCACCTATCCAGTTCACTGTCGACCAAGAAGCCCTCAACGTCGTAGACACCAACGTTGCTCGTGCTCTGCCCAAGGTACGAAAGCAACCGGGCTTCCAGCCTGAGGCTATCCGACACTCACCTGTCACTGCTTCGCAAACCCCATCTTCGGCACCTCGTCCAATGTATGCCACCAAGCCCACCAACGGCGAGGAGAAGAAGGAGGAGGAAAACGGTGTTCCCACCCCAGATGCTACCCCAGATGCTACTCCAACGCCTGTCACGGAGACCCGCAACGCTCTCGCAAGCAAGCCTTTCAAGGCCGATGTGGAGGAGGGCGCGAGCCCAAAGATGGTAGCTGCTGATGCAGCCGTCAAGCCGGACGAGGAGATCACCAGGAAGGACAAACAAGACGAGGACTCCAAGGATGACAGCGAGGACCGGGATGGTGACATCTATGCTGAAGCCGCCCTTGCTTGCTCGATAGAGAACCCCGAGTCCTGCGTCATGTGCAGTGGTTAAGCACTGCAATGCACATTTGTAGGATGGGTTTAGGTAAGAGCAGCGCTCTGACGCATATGGTCTTTTCGATTGTTTTCGGCGTTGGTGGTCTTTCCGCGTAGGCACGCTTGGATTAACGCAAGGAGGTATGAGCTCATGAGTTGGATGTGTTTATTGTCAAACCATAATGTATGTAGCGAACACAACGTTCTTTGGAACACGATTTTTCCATACATGCACATGTGTCTGTCCACCGTGATGTCCTCGATCTCCCCACGCTCCAACACTAGCGTGACACGTTCCGAAAGCCGCGGCTTAATTCCGAACAGGAAGCTACATCTTCCCCACATTGCGCCCTACAACAGTACAACCAACACGCGCCCTTGGAAGTACATACTACTCGGCGTACTTCTATAGACACATTTGAAGTACTGCATACCGTACGTATCTTTCTCCACTCAATTCCCTCTACCAAGAAGCTAACACGCGCACCTTCTCGTAGCTCTCCCAAGCTCAAGCTCTCACAGCCGCAGCCCCACACGCCCGCCTACTTGCTACGACACATACATATGTTTGCCCTCCGCACCTTCCGTCCCGTCATCGCATCTTCCCTCGCAACATCATCGAGATACGCACCGCTGTTCCAACACCGCACAATGGCATCGTCTACCAACGCTCCACTACAAGAATGGCTCATCATCGTGCCTGACCACAAGGACGCGTTGCAGAAACGTATTGCGAGTCGTCCGAAACATCTCGAGGGGTTGAAGGCGGATAGGGAGGATATGTGGCTGTGGGGTGGTATGTTTAGACCCGTTCTTGTCTTTGTAGAAGTGGCAGGTCAATGTGGCATGACAAGTTTACTTGCCTCGCGTTGGATACCCCACACTCATGTGGCAGTATTGCGTAGAACAAGAGGATAAGGCTAATGAGACATTTCTACAGGAGCCATGCTCGAAGAGCCCATCAAAGAAGGCGACACGGGCCCACCCAAGATGAAGGGCTCGGCGTGCCTTATTGGTGCTAAGACGAGGGAGGAGGTTGTGGAGCGGTTGAAGCAGGATGTTTATGTCAAGGAGGGTGTGTGGAATTTGGAGGATGTGCAGATTATTCCGTTTAAGAGTGCGGTTAGGAAGGCGTTGTAGGAGTGTGTTAGAGACGAGAGTGCAGGAAGGAGGTCATGGTCATGACCTCTGCCAATCGCAGTTGCGCATTCCACCGCTAGCCGCCAAGCTGATCTTTCTCTATGCACTTCTCAAGACTCTCAAGTCACGACACTACGACTATGCCAGTTGCGCGTTCGCAGTGCCATGTGATCTCATCCAATCATTCCTCGCACCGTATTCCGTCCTTTGCATACACGTCTCATCCCACATGTATTGGCCATGCAGCTCGGTGGCGTTGTGTAACACGAGCCTCCAATGATACATCTCTTCTGTTCGTTTGGCGCTGAACAGCAAACACATCGCTGCACGACTCCGCACTGATAGCCGGTCCTGCATGTGTCATTGGACATCATGCGCGGGTTAATGTAATGGATGCGCAGTGTGTGGAAGCGACATGGAGGTGTCAGCCTACTTCAATTCTCGACCCAAGGCATAGGATCTCCTTTCTCAACTACCTCACTTCGACGCCCACCTTTCCAATCAACTTGCTTGTTAAACATATTTTCATTCCTCTCGCTACACATTTTCAAGACCAGTCATGGTACCCATTGTTCATATCATCGATCCGGATCCGGATACAGTCATTGTGCTCAAGAATCCGTGTACGATCTTCGCGCGCTGGAAGCCGGAACTAGGACAGCAGCCAAACGATGCCGACGACTGGGGTTCAACTGCAAGGAGGATTATCAAGAAAACGAAGAAGAAGGGGAAGAAGGGTTCGACACCTGCTCCATCCCTACCTCCTGAACTTCTGTCCGCCGAGATCCCTGAAGACAGCAGTATGCTTCCTTTGGATAACGGGTCTACCGCGCCTGCGGAGGCTTCATCTGCCACGCAGCACACGCCGCCATCAACTGCACCGGAAGAGCCTGGAGAGCTTGAAGAGCAGTCCATACACTACCATGTGTCCTCGCGTCACTTGATGCTCGCATCCTCCACATTCAAGCGGATGTTGGCACAAGACGGCTTCGCCGAATCCGTACGCAACGAAGCCGATGGCCTTTACCACATAGCGGCTAGCGATTGGGACCCCGAAGCATTCCTCATTGTCTTGCGGATTATCCATGGACGCAACAAACAGGTTCCACGTGACATATCGCTCGAAATGATGGCTAAAATCGCTGTTCTGGAGGACTACTACAACTTCGGAGAATCTCTCTGCCTGTTCACTGAAGTATGGGTCGAAAATCTCAGACAGACTCCTATACCTGCGACATATCGCAGAAACCTGGTGTTATGGGTTTGGGTCGCATGGGTTTTCAATCTTGAAGAACAATTTACTCAGGCCACCACCGTTGTTATCAGGGAGAGTACCGGATCTGTGCAAACCTTGAATCTTCCTATTCCTACGATAGTATCAGGTACGTGTGTTCGACTGTCAACGACAATATGATGTCTTATGCAGTACAGATGAACTCGACTGTAAGCGATATCAAGCAATTGAATCTGTCGTCGCAGAGCTCTACCAGCACCTTGACAAGTATCGTCGGACCGACTATGCTTGTCCGTCCAATTCTGTTTTGTCATTCGAGTGCGGATCATTCTTTCTCGGAAGCATGATGAAGGAAATGAGTCGTCTAGGTTTATATGAGACTCGACCCGAGGTGCCATTCCCCGATCTCAGCTTTTCTGCACTTTGTGGGCAGGTGCAAGGCATGCAATCCCCTTCTTGGATCCACGAAGCATTTCACGGCCATGATTGTTCCCTCGGGATGGTAACGGAGACCCTCATAAAAGATGTGTCAAAAACAGTTGTAGGGTTGAGCTTGAGCGAACTCAAACATAGATAGAACGACTATGTAGTGCAGCGCAAAGCCGAGAAGATGTACAAAGATGATGTTGTATTGCTCAGCCAAATCCACCCCACAATTCTCGCCGGAAGTGACGATGGGCACTAGGCCATATACGACCTAGTGGCGAAACAGGGGTCCAATGTCCGATGTCAGAAGTCGGGAATGACATGTCGACGATCATTCAAGCTGCAAACCTCCCTGAACTTCGACAATGCCACGATGAGCGAAAGCCAGAAGCTCCTGCATGAGCATCCTTCCGACAGCGACTCAGAACCCGAACACGAGCGCAAACCAAGTCCGCGACACCTGTCTCCATCGCCCTCGTCATCGCGAACCACCTCCGTGTCTCCAGCACCACCCGGGTCACGCCCGAATGGCAACATTAAGCGGCAGTCGTCGTTCGCACAAGCCCGGCCCGATGGCGCACCGAGAACGCCCAATCGGGTGCGCTTCGAGGAACCCAGGAGGAGCATGAATGGAGACAACAATGGCGGCGACTGGCTCGAGCTGGATGGGGACGACTACTTGGATGGCGGCGATGGGCGAGAAAGAACGCAGCGACTTCCTCTGCTTACTGGAATCGAGGCGCCAAGCGTCACAGTTGCCGAAGAATCCTTCAATCCGGAAGACCATCTCGAGAATGCGCGACCACGGAGCGGCATGCGGAGCGCGTTCATGAATATGGCAAACAGTATAATGTATGTCAAACAACACGAATACACTGAGGGGAGCTGACGTAAGACAGAGGAGCTGGTATCATCGGCCAACCGTACGCTGTTCGCAACGCAGGCCTCGTAACAGGCACCGCCCTCCTCATCGGCCTTACCATCGTAGTAGACTGGACCATACGACTCATCGTCATAAACTCTAAGCTCAGCGGCACCGACTCGTTTCAAGCCACGGTGCAACACTGCTTCGGCAAATCGGGGTTGATAGCGATATCTCTCGCGCAATGGCTCTTGTATGTTCACCCTACGACTTGTGGCAGCAAGGGTATTGACAGCATACAGCGCTTTTGGTGGCATGGTCGCGTTCTGCGTCGTAGTCGGAGATACAATACCAAGGGTCTTGGATTCGATGTTCCCTTCTTTAGCAGATATGCCGTTTCTCTGGCTATTAACTAACAGACGGGCCATCATGATCTTGCTTATTCTTGGCATATCATTTCCGCTGTCGCTCTATAGGGATATATCCAAGGTAAGGAATCCGCGGTTCCGCCTCATATCTGCGCTGACAATTCGTAGCTGGCGAAAGCAAGTGGTCTAGCACTGGTCAGCATGACCATCATCATAGTGACCGTAGTCACGCAAGCCTTCCGCGTACCCGCCGAATTGAAGGGCCAACTCCGTGGCAACCTCATTATCCGCCCTGGCATCTTCGAAGCAATCGGCGTGATCGCTTTCGCCTTCGTCTGCCACCACAACAGCCTCCTCATCTACGGCTCCCTCCGCAAACCCACCATCGATCGATTTACACGCGTTACACACTACAGCACCAGTATATCTCTGGTCGCATGTCTTGTCATGGCTCTAACAGGCTACTTGACCTTCGGAGACAAAACCCTCGGCAACGTGCTGAATAACTTTCCGAATGATAACCTCATGGTCAATATTGCGCGACTGTGTTTCGGCCTCAACATGCTTACTACGCTTCCTCTCGAAGCCTTTGTATGTCGAGAAGTCATGACCAACTATTGGTTTCCAGACGAGCCGTACCACCCGAACCGCCATCTTATCTTCACGACCTCGCTCGTCGTCTCCGCCCTCACACTGTCCCTCCTCACCTGCGATCTCGGTATAGTGTTCGAGTTGTTCGGCGCAACATCTGCGTGCGCATTAGCCTTCATCCTGCCGCCTCTTTGCTACATGAAGCTGAGCCAAAGAAGCTGGAAGACGTACTTGGCTGGGGCTGTCGCGGCATTTGGAGGTATCGTTATGGTCATCAGCATCATTAAGACGACGAGCAAAACGATGATGGGTAACAGTGAAGGGGCCAAATGTAGTTGATCTATATTGTATCATATATATAGCGAGCATTGGGTGGCGTTTTGGTATACACGTTGCATGTGCATGGCGTAGAAGGCCGGTGGGGTTCACCGACCTTGTTAGACAGAATCTTGGAATACATTGTGATCACTTGCTGCCAACGAGCACATGGATTGTCGTATCGCCGAAATAAGGCTTGACGAAGACTATTCTCGTCTTCCTCGGTTCAATCGGCACCAGATTTCTTGAAGTTGGAGTCTCTTTAAGCTCACTAGCTTTCCTCAAGTCCGGTACACCAAGTGCCTCCGGCACCAGATCCGGCGCAGGACGCGTACTCACAGACCCACAACAAACTTCAACACCACGCTAAGCATCAATTCACAATATCGCGATGAACGTTTCGCGATGACCGTTTTTTCTGGTCCCCAATTCATCCCGTAGATTAGCGATGACGATGCGGCTGCTTTCTGTGATGTTGGAGGCGCAGATCACCCCCTGCTTTGGGGCATTGACGTCACGCAATGCAGGTTCCCGAACCCTGCTTTCGCGACGTTGACGGACAGCTGGGAAGACACGACGAAGGAGCGCTATGACAGGGAGGACTTCACATATAAGACCCGGCATGTGCGTTCCGAATCTTCAACTCTAAATCTCCAAACTTTATCATCTCCACCGTCTAGCCAAGCACGCATCTCGCAGTCCAAATCTCCTGTCGATTATCTTGAAGCTTCTCAAAGCTCCTAAACAAGACCACGAAACATGCCTCTCTTCGGATCCAAGCGGGAGCCCAGCCCCCCTCCTGCTCCTCCTCAGAAACACTCCATGTTCTCTAGGCGTCGCTCTTCTTCCCCTTCATACAGGGATTCGCGCCATAGCAGCTCCACCAGCCGCACCACCACGACATACACCTCGTCCCCGAAGCGTACATCTGGCATGTTCAGCCGTGGCTCCGGAGACCCTAGCATTGCGACTGCTAAGCAGAGTTTGATGACTGCTGAGGCTGCGGAGAGGGACGCTGACCGTGCGCTCTTTGTCGCTAAGAACGCTGTGAGGGAGGCGCGGGAGCATGTTCATCGTTTGGAGCGTGAGGCTGCTGAGGAGTAAGTACTACCGTGGGCAATGGACATGATGTTGAGTGATGCCTAATGAGTATACAGGGCGAGACTTGCGAAGATCAAGCAGGGCGAGGCCAAGGCTCTCGGCAAGAAGGGCAAGCTGCTCGGAAGACACGACCATGTCTAGATCGACCCAATGCGCCACTTTTTGAAACACCCGCCGATACGGCGGGTTGGGCTGGTTCTCATTTCCTTTTATCACGATGTTGAATGATGTGAAGCGCGGAGTTGTTGGATTTCTTATGTCGCCATGAGCGCTTGTATAATACCCCTGATGTCTCTATGCATATCCAATTCTGTTTGTCTACCGTCTATCTCACCTTATGCGTCAATTGAGTGATCACGTCAGCCTGGCAAACGTCATTCCATTGTCTGGGCTCACATGCTCTACCACGCCTGATAGAAGATGGCAAACGGACCGGCGGTCTCGTGGATGCGAGCAGGTCGTACAAACACTGTCTCTCTACTATTAATACCGTAGGGAGGCCTTCCTACACGGACCAAAGCAGGAAACTCATGAACTGCTCCATCAACAGTAAGTCTTCACATATCCTCGTCGCCGTTGTGCAGCAGCACACTAATCTGATAGCAGAGACTGAGCGCGACCGCTCGACGCGAAAGCCCATACGTTGAAGCTCCTGCCGGCGGAGTTCGTGTGAAAGCCAAAGCAAAACACCAGATGACGGAAGAACTAGGCGGCGTTGTGGTCGCCAAACTGAAAGAGTTTCTCGACAAACGCACAAACTCCCTCATCGCCCACACACCACCGATATTCCCACCCCACCAACACAACTTCACTTCAATTATCTATACCCCTCCCTCGTACACGTATAATCCCTTTTTTACACTCTCTCCATTCATTCAAAATGGCTCGCACCAAGCGCGAAGCCCGCCGAGCGCCCAACTCCATCGGCGAAGCCCACCGCGACATCGCGGCCTACTACGCGGGGCTTGTCCAGGACAAGAACACGCCCGCCCGTCGCCATGCACTCGCGTACTCCTCGCTGCCTGAGGAGACGCCCATTCCCGTCGGTTTTGTAAGTTACCATTACCCCAATTCAAGGATAAGCAAGCGCTGACTTCAACCCCTCTTCAGACTAGCCAGATCATTGAGGAAGCGCAGAAGCCACAGTGGAAGCGCGACCTAGGAAAGGCCAACCGTATCATCGCGGCGTACCTTGACAAGAAGAAGCCCACACGGGATGACCAGGATGACCTGGACTGGGCGAAGGCCATCTGCGCCAAGAGAGAGCAAGAACAGCTCGCCCAGGCGCAGGCAACTGAGGCAAAGAAGCAGCAGTGGGTCTTAGACGGACAACGTCGTCACCAGGGCATCTTGTCCGCTGGCGGCGACCCTGTCTGGACTAGACGTCATCTGCAAAGGGCATTCTTGGGCTACGGCGACAAGTCGGATTCCGACTCTGACAGCAGCTTGAGTGACCTTGAGCGTGACCCCGCCACCATCAACCCGGATCGTATTCCGGAAGAGGGTCCTGTCGCGGGCAAACAGCCTGCTGCCGGTGCTACGTCGACTCCCCCTCCTGAGGTGGTCGAAGAAGAGGTAAGCCCGTCCATCCGATCACACATACCATCAGTACTAACATGAGCCAGGCCAAGGCCAAGATCACCGACGCCATCTCGTCCCTCACGTTCGAGAAGGGATCAGACTGCCCCCTGTGGATCGGCCACCTCGAAAAGCCGCTCCCACACCCCTCTCTGACCCCCCTTCAGAACGAACACGTTCTGAAGCGTCTCTACGACGACGAGATTGCTCGCCTGAGCGCTCTCCGTGATACCCGTGGCCCTCCCGCCGGACACCCTCCGGGTGGAGAATGGATGTATACATCCTTGTATGGTGAGACGAAGCAGGTGAAGGAGGAGTCGGCTGGAGCACACCGGGCTGCTGCGAGAGGCTGGTGGACGTACAGTGTAGATGGCGAGGATTTGGAGGAGGTTTGGGAGAAGTGGCCGGTTGGCCTTGATGGAAAGCCGGTGGGCTGGAGGAAGGTGAACTGGAAGGATGGGACGGTGGGGTCTTCTCTGGTGAGGAACTGGTTGGAGAGGGAGTTGTGGGCGTTGCCCGAGGAGGATGCGATGGAAGGAGTTGAGTTTGAGTAGGCGGGTGGCTGGCTCGCATGTCTTCCTGACCATGTACGGATGATGCGAGGATATGTAGTTGTGTTAAGATACCATAATGAATGCATCTGAAAGACGATGACCTCACCCAGTAGATGATACCACATTGGTTCATGTCAAGTCTCTTGCACCGACCATGGGGGAGCCTGTCGTAGACAAAGGATTTCAGTAACAGCGACCATGACATCCCCAAGGTCATGTCGCCTCTATTAGACATATCGGCCTTGCCTGCCACTTCCAGTATCCCCATGTATAACCCTGGCGGTAATGGCGTCTATATCTTGATCTCCAGACTCGGATTGTAGACTCCTTGCTGCCCTCGTCAACAGCCTTGTAAGGAATGCATTCGCCGACTCGGTACTCGATCTTTGTAAAATTATGTGTAGCCCTGCAGTACCCTTAACGCATACATTGCAACTCTCTGATCTTATTTGTGACTGTGTGAATCCATGTAGACATTGTGGCCGATCCACATATAATATACGTTGAAGCCTCTACGGTGCGTCTTCGTGAACCACAGCTTGAGAAAGCCGTATGACATCTCAGCTCTACGTTGTAGTACCCTGGCCATCCTGGTATTCTCCTCTTCGTAAACCCAAAGCCGTTCGCCGTCCTCATGTCTGTCTGTACAGGACCCTGGACCCTCAGCCGCTGACATATATCCCACAAGATGAGGTGACATTGACATGCTGCAAGGCCTCGACCATGCATCCCAGAATGTCTCTGATATGGTGCTCTACTGTCGATCGCGGGTTCGGACTGTATGGTGGGATGAATTTGCGGTGAATCGTCGAGGGTCGTTCGCGTTCTCGAGGCAGTAGCTCTACAGTAGCATAAGTAATCTGGCCCAGGGAAGACGGAGGGTATAGATATTGGTGTAGGCAAGCCCGGGGGCGTTCGATGTTCGGTAGCTGCTCATGGGCGTGACGCTGCAGGCCGGCGCTGTGGTCTTGGTGTTGCACCGTCCGCCACCTCCGCGGCCAACTCGATGTTCTCAAAGCCGCAAGGCAGTGATTTGCCCCCAAGTTTCGAGGGTTCCTCCGTGTCCGAGCTGCGGTTCCACAACCACTTTGTCAATTCTGTCCAAAAAAGTGTCAGGAGGAAGGTACAGTTCAGGGCTTCGCTCTCGTGCTTTGTCGACCCTTATAGACATCTGCTGCCGTGTTGCATGAGCCTGCCAGCTCCCCCATGTGAAGCCCTCAGCGAAAAGTTTGGTGTTCCTCTGCTCCCTCAGCTGGTTTTTGCGGAGGACTCTCGGGCAACCCACCCCCTCCACGCTGAATCTTCACCACCACCAGACCAAAAAATATCTGGGGAGTGCCAAAAGCAGCGCAGAGCTCACGATATCCTCCTCCAACTTTCCTGGTGTTTCTTTCTCGACGTGGTGGAGTTGCACTCCCAGATTTACACCCTTGGGGTGAGCCTCCGCCACCGCGCACGGTCGCAACTGCTTCTCTGCTTCACCCCTAGTGCTATCTGAAAGCTCAGGGTCCAGGTTATTGAGTCTCCCATCAAGCCTGTCTATACCTTAATACCCCTCCTCCCCAGAGCCCGAAGGGCAGTACGGCAAGCACCGTGAAGCCCGTCGCAAGCTCCTCCAACTTTCCCGGTGTCGATACGACGTCAGGGGCATCTGGAACATCCATTGATGCCAAGTGATGGTGAGCGTGAGGCCGCGAGCCTTAGCTGCGAGCCTGGCGGCCTGGCCAGGGCTGCCATATAAGCTCGTCCACCGACCTCCCCCTCCAACTCTTCAACCACCCACCACCACAGCTATATGCAAACTTTTGAGCTCGACAGCGCCCTTGGGGCTTCCTGTCGGAGCGCAGCAAAGTGCTTCACATGAGCGGCCTGCCCCACGATACGTAAGTCAATCCTTTACTCCGCTCTAAGTCTCTTCGTGCACTCTCTGACAACCTCATCAGAGCCGGCGGGCGAACGCAAGGCTTTTTCGAGCCTGATACGTGCACTCATGCACGCTTGTGCGCCACCTCCTCGATGGCGACGTACCTGGTAAGTCATACTCACACTCCTTGCCTGCTTGAACACTGTACTCTCTTCGCGCTCTGTACTGTGGATCGCGCGGTATACCCATCCTGCCCCAAGTCGCTGCGAGGCGCCTTCAACCCCGCCTTTGGCAACGTCTTGCTCTCTCCCCTCCAGTACTCTTTTGACTCTTCTTTTATAACCTTGTTCCATCTCTTGCATACTAACATACTATTCAGTCTCGGCTTTGGTCATTACTAAAACGCCGCCCGCACTCCTGACCAGCACAAGCCCACCGGAACTGGGTTTGCCATCTTCTCGTCCCAAGAAGAGGTATGTACCGCATTAGCAATATACCCGCTTTTACTAATATTGAATAGGCTGCGGAATCGCTCTGCATGAACGGGCGGCTCATCAACGCCACACGCTTCGCTATGAGGTGGAGTCGGAGTAGTTCGTCTCTCGCCAATTCCAGGCAGTCGCTCTCCAAGTTTTCTACGAAGAGAACTACTTCGACTTCACCTCCAAGACATCATGTCGGGCGCCGCTCAAGGTATGTGCTCTGTTAGCAATCTCCGCACTAGAACTTACTAACCCAGCTCAAGGAGAAGCATGCCCGCATCGTGGACCTCAGCAAGAACGGTGAACGTCTTCGGGGTGCGGTGCATGTGGTCCCGCGCCTGAGCAAGAACGAAGGGCACCCGCAGCCTACCTTCAAGATATCATGGCTAACATGCATGGCCCGAATCTCTCAACCTCCAGGGCGTGAGCGACTTCGACCCCAATGATCCCCTCTACTGGGCCATGGAGCACTGCCAGTCAGAACGACCCAAACCAGCAACTACATGGAAAACGGCCGCTGGTATCATGGCTTCCGGAGAGGCCTCTACATGTACCCGTGCGACGAGCACGAGAACGACCGCATGGACATCTACCACCAATTCTTTGCCGTCGCACGGAGAGGGCAGCTGCACCAGGCGCCGCACGCAAATGTCAAGCTCCCTGAGGCCGTTCGAAAGTGTTGAGTGCGACAATATGGCGCTATTTCGATATATACGCACTCTTGTGCACCGCCAGAGCCGCAAGCTGGCAAGAAGCGAAAAGCCGAGAAGGAGCCCGAGGTTAGTACCGTCTCAAGCGTTTAGATCACTCGCTAACATGATGCAGCCGAACAAGAAAGCCATGCCGAACCTCTTTGTGATGTTCCTGAGAACAGGACTTGCCCTCCTCAGCCTCGAATCAACATGTACAAAGACGAGGAGGGCAAGTTCAACGGCAAAGTCGTGCGAAGAGGTACGTCTGTCCGATCCAATGCCGATCTCAAGCGCTGACTCAACAACAGCTGCATCGCGAGTCGGCCCTCGTGAAGCCCGTCAACACGAGAACACCCCATCAAGAAGTTCGATACCAGAAGAGAACTCGTGTTGGCGGGTCGTCACACCGGAAGCGACCACGGCATGGGTGGCGGACACATGCGTGGAGGCGCCGGCGCTGTACCCTTTAGGGCTGGGCCCCCCTCAACACCACATGGGTCATGGCCACGGCCACGGAATGGGTGGTGGACATATGCGCGGTGGCACCGGCGCTGTGCCCTTTAGGGCTGGAGACTGGAAGTGCGGAGAGAACGGCTGTGGATACCACAAGGCCACCTCGACGTCTTGACCAAGCCGATGGACGCCCGCGCCGACGTTCGCGCTTTCTTGTCAGAGCGAAGCAAGGTTCTGCACACGAGCGGCCTCCCCCACGACACTACCCAATCAGAACTAGAGAGCTGGTTTACTCAATTCGGCGGACGTCCAGTTGCGTTCTGGACCTGCAAGCAGTAAGTCGCCTTCCCCTAATGGGGTTGGCGCACCGACAACACGCCATGCAGCTGCCCTGATGACCTCCGCGAAAGCTTCCTGCATCATGTAGGACGCAGAGAAGTTTGTGGCCTGGAAATTCGGCGGCCAGAGATACGACGGACGCGATCAAGTGCTTCTGCTTGCCGAGGACAAGCCGCGCTTCAAGAAGTCTGGCCGTGGCGATATTCCTGACAGCGATTCAGAGTAACCACCTGTCAAAGCCAAGGATCGACGTATAGCTTTGGACACGAGTAGGATACGGGATGGAGGTTGACACGCAGGCTTAGATGCTTGAACGGGGAATGATACCATCGCCCTGGTCATGCAAAGAGAGAGACGGCAGCTACCACGACTTCGCGAAGAACACCGCCTGTCTCCGCTGCGGTGCGAGCCGCGCAGGTGCAGCTGTTGATGCCGACTTGGAAGATCAGAGTCCCTCCGGCAAGAAGAAGCGCAAGGCGCGGAAGAAGCCACTCGTGAGTACTTTTCGCATACTATCGTCCAGCTACTGACAAGCATAGTCTGATGAAGAGTGCAAAGTTACGAACGCCGAGTATCATCAAGGACGTCCCAAGTCATTCGGTTGGGGGCGACTGGGTATGGGCGAGGTCGGGGCCCTATCCACCATCGGCATTAAACTCGTTGCGCAGAGTTGTTCGTTCGTAAAAGCTTCTAGCCTTGGTCTTCGTGGGAAATCGTAAGACGCTGACATCATTCGGCGCGGTGACGGAGACCGTGGCAACCCTCACATGGGACCAAGTCCGCAACGCCGGTTCCATCCGTGGGTGTCGTAGAGCGCTTGAGCAACTTCTACAACGAGCACATTGGTCCCAAGAACCTCGAGTTCGCCTTTGTAGACTCGTGGGACGAATATGTTCGTTGTAGAGGGATCGCTCGCGCCTATGCCATCCACGGAACATTTTAGCATGGCACCGCAGCGGTACGTCCAAACAACATCCTATCCAAACCGCAGATAAGACATGAGCTAACTTTGCTAGGCTTCGGCCGGTGTAAGCCGCCTTCACACCCATCGGGTCCCCCGATGGGTGGTTGGCGCCTCAGGTCGCCTGCGACCTGATGCAGAATACTGCCGTCGGGCTCGGTACTGAGCGCCGTATGGAGTGTTCTGTGTTGGGTTCGCATGGCACCTCTGCGGCGCCGCTCCCAACGCTGTGTCGAAAAGAAACGAAAAGGCCAGCCTCACAATGCAGCAAACAAACGTCAGCGCAAGTAGTTGTATGTTGTGAGGCTGGCCGGCCGTGGAAGAAAGAAGGATCCGACGAGGACGAGGACCGGGTTTCGCCACCCATTACGCCACTATGGACGACCTCGCGCGCTCCATGGCCAAGGACATCCGCGATATCCAACCGTACGAAGGCCAGATGTTCTTGTCAATGTTCATCGACGCGAACCCCGAGCACGCTATGTGGGAGTTCACCAACGACGACTATGAGGACATCAAGAACCAGGTCGACCTCATCTCTAGGGGGTTGGATCGGTGAACCCTGCAACGTCGTCCATGTCGACACCATCCAGGAAAAGGACAAAGACCTCGGCTTCCTGGCCGACAGGACATCGTCACCGCCCTCGCACAAGAGAAGTGCATCTGCGAGAACGTCATGTGCTCGGCGTGGCAGATCCGCATGTTCGTCAACGCACCTAAGGCGTATTCCAAGCGGAAGGATATTCCAGACGTAAGGATTAGAACCGGGAGATCCTGCCACTGACCCAACTATCGAGCTGGTTCGAACGCGATCGCAACCGCAACGTAGAGCGCATCTACAACGCGATCGCAACCGAAACGCAGAGCGCATCTACAACGCGATGGTCAGCGGCGATCATGCTAGAGACAACCCCAAATCAACCGCGCGGAAGAGATGGATCGAAGAGCCACATTACCAGTCCGACTTGTGGGAAATAGCAAGAGGCCGAACGCGAAAGGTCACAGTGTATGAATGGTAAAGGGTGGGAGATGTCGTCGGATCCCCCGGCGCGGTGTGTTGGAAGTTTGTGGCGGCTTGTGGAAACGGATTTGGCGATGGGATATGAGCGACGTCTTGGTTTCGAGTTGAGGTTCAAATGCGCATTAAGTTCTCCAATCTATCTCCAATAAACCGCATGTCTTCGTTAGCCCGCGGGCCTCATGCATCGCGTCGTGAGCGAATGAGTGTTGCGTCCCTCGCAGCGGTATGTAACCCCCCTCTTCATCATCGGATGTTTGCTGACGTTTGCCTGCTCTGGCCCATACCAGAACATACTCATTGTCGATAGCGATAGTGGCGAAGCATTCTGGAGATGCCAGATCGCCCGTGAAGATGGCAAGGGATGGTCTGCGGCTGCACGTCGACGGTGGCTGGGCGGAAGATGGCGACCCACACTCGCTTCCGCGCGTCGTCCTTCCCGGACTTCCGACCGCACATCTTCGCCCCTTTTCCGCAAACTTCATCGAGAAGCTCGCCAACTCATCTTCCATCGTTCCGTAATACCGGTGTATCATCGTTCATCTCGCTGGCGATAGAAAGAGCTAGGAAAATACTGTCGCAGCATGCAGCGTGGAAAGCCGTACGCCATGGTCTTCAGAATTCCGTCGTGAGGGCGTCGAATGCCGTGGAAGACGTCCTGTGAACAGCATAATGCTGCGCAAACTATTCGTATCTCATCGCGCCGTGCTCATATGTATCGAAGCCATGGATATGCGCAACCCCGATCCTGTGCACATCGCCGCTCCGAGCTCATGAGGACATGGAGCCCCAAGACATCGCTTCCGAAAGCCAGATCTTGACCACCTGACAAGAGTACGACCGGCTTCGCTATGCCTGTCGTCGAACCTGCCTGTCTGGGCTGGCTCGTCTTACGATGAACACGTTCGAGGCTATCCATCGTTCCAGATGTCGCGTCGATTCTGCGGCTCATTGGCCTCTTGCCGAAGGCTCTCAGCACGGACGGCTTGATGCTTGGCCACTGAGGATGGGTAGAGAGGATCGCCTTGTTTCGCCGTGTGAGCTTTACGAGGGACAAATCGCGCTGTCTTGTGCGCGTTCTCGTATCCCAACGTCCTGAGGCTCGTGCCTTCGTTGTGTGCTGCTGGGCGTCTCAAGCTTGAGGCTGTCCGTTGTCGATGGTGTGCCACGCGCCATTCGAGCAAACCGGTCGCGATTCGTTGATCGCAATCCCCGGTTATAGTGTGCATGCGGGAGTAGCAGATATGCCGCTCGAATGTCGCTGTGGCTCATCGCCGGTATCCGTCGCGTATGGAGCCTTCGCCGCCGTTTCGTCGAGCTGCCCTTCATCCAAGGGGTGCCTCTTCTATCTCGCTGTTGTCTGGCCCGTTGCCGCTCTCGCATTCGGTATGCAGCTCATTCAAGCCTTTCTTTTGGCCTGTGATCAAGGCACATCGGCGGTATCGGTCGGAGCGGAGGCGCTCTGCGGCTTCGTGGGATGTCGTGCGCGAGGAGGACGGCGGTTCGAAATGGTCGTAAGGGGTGCCCGAAGTTTGTCCTAGATTACTATATCCTTTGTCAGTCGCTCTTGGATCTCCAGCATGGGCTTCAAACCTGCTGTGTCAAGTCGCTGTCTCGGGACAGCGAAAGTTTGCAAGCTCATTCTCAACGCCGCGGAGGAGCCCGCCACCCCGGAAGTGAGCAAGCCGCACATGGGCGTATCGTATCGCTACTGCTCGTTGTCAGGAAACCGTTTGTCTGTCGAGAATCAGTAAAGGTCGCGCGGTAGCTTGCCGTTCCGTCGGCGGCCTTCGCCCTGGGGTGAGTGAGCTTTCCGTCAGGGGTGAGGGGATCTTAGCCACGCCTTCGAAGAGACGTCGCGCGATTCTGCCTATCATCGACGATGCCCTAATGCCGGAGATGCTCGTACTAAGCCTCTCTCGTTGGCCTGGGGGTCGAGGGGCTCGTGGCGCAAATTCGTGGGTTGTTGCCGTGAAAGAATCTTGGACGAGCCTGCTGTCGCGGGGCATGATGCCTTTCGATAAGGCCATTGCAGTAGAGCTTTTCGCGCTTGACAGGGCTATGGTCAAGGTTTGGCGAGTAGCCGCACTCCTATGATGGCGTTGTGGTCGTGTGTGTGGTGAAGCTGAGGCGGCGGTCGGCGGAGCGAGACGAAGCACGATATCAGCCCCACCACGATGCAGCCCGCCCTTCCTCAAAGTTGAGGAGACGCGTCAAGCATAGGATAGCGGAAGACTCGTCGAGCACGAGGAGGCCAAGTTCCAGCATGCACCCAAGCACAGCTGGGTGTCGCGCCTTGCACTGCCAAAGAAAGCCTTCAATCTAGACCATACTGTCCTTCGGCGGAGCGGCTAGAGGAAGACTTCTACGATCCGGCTACGTCTAAACAGCGCCCATCGTGATAGCATGCCTTCGTCCAGCTCTCGAACACTGCCAAATTGTATGCAACGCGCTCCTGAGTAGCTTGCACTATAGACATCAGGGATCGTCTCATACGATTTTAAGCACGGAGGTCAAGCATGGTGATCAAGCAACAAGTGTACAAGGCATGCGATCAATTGCTCTGATCGCCTGCAACTGCTACATGCTAGATACATGCTGCTCATTGTCTCAAGAGCCTCCTACATGGGCCCATGATATCCCCTTGGCTCATCGTCCTGCCGCTGCTGCGCTACTTCCATGCTTGCTCAAGGCGTCCTCGCCTTTCCTGCGGCCTCCATCTACGTATGTCAGGAATCGCGTATCCCCCTGGCCTCCCTCCTGCTCGCCTATCGCCTTGCCTTGTACCCATCGTGGCTTTCTTGTGCTGGCTTCGGTACGATGTAGGCCGTAGGTCGCCGTCGGAGGTTCATAAGACTGCTGTCAGTGAAAGATATCCCGGACAGGACAAATCAGTATACGTTCTTGGGATGCTATGTCAACAATACCAATGACCTTCGGTGGTCTCTCGTCATACCCCGCCTACCCTCGCCGTCAATAGGAGTCTCAGAACCCTAGCAGGTTCCCGGCGCTAGTGGGTCACCCAAATGGTCAACAGTACTTCACGCAGACAATAGAGGTGCTGCACGCCCCGGAAAAGCTTGCAATTGCCTGAGCTGGTTGCTGCATGGCTATTGAACAACAGTATCCCCTTACTGGGTCTCAACACGGGGTCGTCGTCGAGTACAGGTCACCGTCGCTCTCGTCTTGGCGCGGGAGCTGGGGCCTCAGGGCGCCGACTATATAAACAAGCGACTTTTGGGATCCCTCTTCTGCTCTTTGGCAACCACATCAATCTGCCCAGATCAAGAATTGTTTACAATTCTAAAAAGTCTCTTCCCTCCTCCCTCAACACCAACAACAACAACACCAACAAGACCTTTCGGCAACCCCCCACCATTCTCCACCACCAAAGTCCGGAACACCACCGGCAACAACAAGATGTGGCGGTGCTTTGCACAAGTTGGGCCTGAGGCCGATGGAGAGGAGGTGTCTCCCCCCGCGAACGCCGGGTTCGCCCTCGAGGGACGGCGGATCCCGCCTTGGATCGAGCCACCGGCGCCGCCTCGCCCAGCAGGTGGCTTCCCTCCTCCGCCGCCTCCGCCTCCGCCACCGCCTCCCCCGCCCCCTCCACCCCCTCGGGTCTTTACCCAGTGGGAGTTGCACGGGATCCGGGGCATGGCGCTCCACAACTTCTTCGCCTCCCTCTCGCTGGCCGACCAGTACCGCTGGCGAGCCCTCCAACACAACTGAGGACGACGTGGCGGCGGACGATGACGACGACGACATGACTGGCGCGTTGTGGCCTCCTGGGTGGACTTTTGGGTTGGGTTTGGGGAGTTTGGGCTGGGGTTGTGGTCTCTTGGGTGTCTTGTCGGCACACACTGGCCGCGTATATAGTTGAATGAAGCTTCCCCGCTGCCTGCTCGTTTGCCGGTGGCGTCTTCCCGCTCACATTGTATTCTGCAAACCTATTCTGTGATATGTGTATTTGACATGATATACCTGTACTAAAATCGACTATGTCCACTTTATCCCTTTCACTCAAGCACCCCCCTCCCTCTTAGCATATTCATCCTGCATCCTCTCCTCATACTCCCTCTCCTTGCTCTTAGCGTCTTCCTCCTCCGTCACATCCTGGATCCGCTTCGCATCTGCATGTCTGTGATCTTCCAGCTGTTTTCCCGAAGAATCCGTTTCGAAGCGCTCAACGCGCGGCGCTTCACCTGGAGCTTGATGGGTACGCTCGACACGGGTGCCGCTGGGGTCTGTGAAGGTGTGTTCAGACTTTGAGGTTGTTTGGCCGTTGATGGTAGTGCTGGATGAGGATGTGGAGAAGGATTGGAAGGTTGAACTGGACATTGTGGCGGTGGTTGGTGGGTTGTGTAGTTTGATGAGTTGATGAATTTGTGACGGGGGATAGTTTGGAGTTGTTGGTGTGTGTGTGTTTGAGTTGTGAGGTTGTTGGGTTGTTAAACCTATTCATGGACCGAGGTCGTGTGTTACGCGTTGTGATCTCATGAGTGACGTCATAGGGTCTAGCAACACGAAACGACAACCAACCACTTCACGACTCGACGCGACTGATCTGTCGCGTGCGCCTTTCGCATCAAGGAATTTCGCCCACAGTTCCGTCATCTCGACTAACATGGCGTAGCCAACCGTCTGGGCCGCCAGCTCTACAGGAATCCCAGGAACAACGCCGATAACTACACGAGCGACGCCGGTACGGACCGCAATCTTGAAAGGCAGCAGGGTCGAGAACGCAAAATACGGAGACGAAGGAGTGGCTGAGATCTAATGCGTGAATTCGCGATCGCCACGCAGAAGTCGTAACGCACTTTGCAGGTTGTGTGGAAAGATTTTAGGCTACTCGAGTGATGCGACATTACCAACTCACATCAGATATTCACATGCGAGACAAGCGCCTTTCGTCAATTTCCAGCCTCCAGCCTCTAGCGTTTGCCATGACGATTCGACCACTTCGATCGTGCTCCTCGTTATATCAGAAGATTGTAACATGCACCCCTCAAGAGATCTCGAGGGGTCGCGGTACTCTACGAAACGGTACCAAAGGTTTTGTCGATGCTGGTTCGGGGTCGAATTTCACGAGAACGCCATCTATTCCATGCAACCTCTCTTCTTCTTTGTCAGTCTCTTCAAATCTGGGCGCACCAAATAGGTCGCAGGCTGCTTTGGAATTGAGCAGGTGAACGTTGAAGACAGTTGTGCGATGTGGCTCCCATCCGATAGATGGATAAGTGTCTAGTTTGAGCAGGCGAGAGCGTATGTGTCCGCCGCGGTGATCCGGTACTACTGTGTAATTCTAGGAATGACATTTAGCGTGATCTTCGTCGTGAAGAGACGTTAAGACTTACAGAAAGATTCTCGCAATCAGCAAATAACAAAGTGTCTACGATCAAGTCAGCTTGTGTTACATCACATGATCGCTCTTCATACCGTCGACCTGTTCCTCTTGACTGGTAAGTCTAGCCGAGATAACAGTACCGTCTTCGAATTGAAGCTCGTACTTCCTCGTGAAGTCCCTGACAGTCATGCTGGGTAACGTCACCACAGCTTGGCAAAGTTCTTCACCCTCAACACCCACATCGATTACTGTTAGTACGTTAGTGTTCGTAGATGGCGTTACCTCGAAGCGTATGGTCTGGGCGTCTTGCTGTGTATAATTGGCCGCATACCGTGGACGGCGAAACTGTGTTGTTAACGCATTGATGTTGGATTTGTATCCATTGAGGAAGGCCTGATCGGGCACGATGACATAGTCTTGCTGGCCTTGTACTTGCGAGGTTTGGCCTGTCACCACGTTCACATTGTCGACGTAGATACGGATCACGTACAGTCTGTCTGCGTCAAACTTGATCCACATGGCTTCACTCTCTGCAGTTGCCCCATGGTTAGCTCAGCGGGTAAAGTTGCTGATATATGACTCACGCTGCATATGTAGATAAAGCCCCCTACATTTCGCCTCATCAAACTGCTGCCGATTGCTATCTCTTTGCAGAAAATGCAGAGGAAATATACCGTCGTCAGGAAGCAGATCGGCCAGATTTCGGTTGGGATCGATAGATGTCCGGTGGAATTCAATCTCCAGGTGATCGTCGACTCTAATGATGTTCCCACTACGTCGCTCACAGGAAAGCTGCGCCATGATCGCGGTGGAAGAAGAAGGGAGTAGCAGAGAGGATACCATTGAGTAGACATATGTTCGACATGGTTTGATAGCAAATAGAAAGGAACCGCCGCGAAGAAGACAGCGCTTATAGCAACCACGCTTGATGTGAGCAGAAGATAGCAACTGCTGGACATAGAGGAAGGATTCGTTCTACAGAGGTGGGATGTCAATGGCTCGCTCGAGTAGGCTTCCTGTGGCAGGGCATAGTCGCGTTAGCAACAAACCTCAGTGGTATTAGTACACTCCATGGGACATGGGAACATAATGATGGCATCGGCGTCAACATCAATATCCTCCGGCGCTCCATGTCGGAGGTGGCAGAGAAGTTTGGCGGGGAACCAGCGTTCGTGCCTCATGATCGCCGGCTAATCGCGCGACACCCCTGCAAGGCTCCGCCACGCTACGCCCCTGACAGCGGCGGCAGCGACGAGCGCCAGGCACCTGCCCTCGATCATTCCACCACCAGCCCACCATGCTGCTGTCCGGTATCGCGCTGCTGGCCGGCCTTCTGTCCTCGGCCTATGCCGCAGATATTCCCGAAGTACTCGACTGCGACCTGGATGGAAGAGGAAAAGTGCCTGAAGGGTGCGAGGCGCCCATTGCACCGGTCGCAGCCGTGGTACCCGGATCGTCCTACATCGCGAAGATAGAATGCAAGGACTGCCCTTATGAGGACCCTGAAGATCACGAGGTCATAACTGGTGATAATGTGCTTGTATGTATAAGTGTCCAGCCTAAGTCCAGCATGTGCCTAGAGAGCGGTGCTAACCAGCCTGAGCACTATAGCTTCTCAACGTAACCCTCACGCACGATAATCGCACAGTCCTCCTCAACGATCGCCCGCTATATCCCTTACCGACCATACCCACACCCTCCACCTTCCTCGTTACACGATATCGCCAAAATCTCTCCCATGCGGAACTGTACTGGGGCCTAACCTCCGAAGACCCGTATTGTCGAGAAAGCTGGAGTGACAGAGGACGATGGTGCCACGAAGTACCTTTGACACATGCCCCGCGAATGTATATCGATTATCTATACATCACAAACCCGAGCGATAATCAAGAAGGCGATGACGCGGAGGCGCAATACTGGAGCGTTGCGCTGGACGTGATTGGAAAGTCGCGGTACCCTGACGACCCTCTCTGGAAGTTCAATAGTCCCGAGCAGAAGATGCTGTGGATGCGCGTCAAAGGAACACCTCTGAGAAGAGGAGACAAAGGAGGCCCAGCCAAAGTCGCCGACCCGTTCGGTCAATCTACCACGGACGACCAGATCTACGAGTACCAAATCGTCGACATGCGCCTAGTAGCTCGAGCCTACACCTTTCCTCTCAAGAAGTCTTTGACGATTTGGGGCACAATAGGCCACTTCCTTGGCAGCGATGTCTGGGAACTAGAGGGGAGTCGCTTTCTCTACCGCAAAGAAGAATGGGGATACTACGGCAAGAAAGGAACGCTTCGCGACATGTTTGGCGAATTCGTACACTGGGAATGGTGGGGCTTGTTCTGGGTCATCTTCAGCAGCGTCGTTGGCGGCCTATTCACCATCTTTCTCTTATGGAAGATGTACTGGTGGATCGTTGCGCAGCGCGAGCTCATGAAGTGGGACGGCATGGAAGATGTCTGGGAGAATATGAGAAGGGATAGGGTGGCTGAAGAGGAGGGCGCACTGCTAAATGCCCACGGCGCGTACCGCGATGATCCGGATGAAGGCAGCTCCTCGAGACCACCAGCATATGAGGATGCATTGAAGCCGCTGCCGAGTAAACCGCTGCCTGAGAAACCTTTACCGGCGGTACCGTTGATCGATGCTTGAGCATTTCGATGTTTCGCTGCCATTTATTTGACATTTACTTACGGATATCCATCTATTCACCATTCACGGTCTTTGTCACTTCTCCCGTTCTTCCAAACTTATCTACATTCTCATTCTCAAACCTGGAGGGCCAATCCATCGTCTCGCAGTACTTCACAAAGGCGTTTCGATTCGCCGCACTGTGCATTTTGAAGTCAACCAAGATCAACAGTCAACGTTTACCAAGCAACACAATAATACGTTGGGTCGTGCAGCATCGCGCTCTGGTGGCAGCTCGCATGAGATCGCACCAACGTTGGCAAAGAGCGCTCAGCCCAGTCACAACTTCTCATGCAATCGGTATGCGTCGAGCATCACAAAAAATACTCAAACATCAATGATATCGCGATTGCCGAGATCGTAGCCTCAGAACTTGGGGTTTTGGTGACACGAGTCAGAACCATGCCGTCATCCGCCGAAGACACGCCTTCGCAGCGAAAAATTGCGGGGGCTCAGAGCGGAGCGATAGATAGCGGCCGTTGGAGATACAAAAGCAGGGAGCATGTAATCCGTAGCGCTTACAGTTGAATCCTTCGACATCAAGAGAGCGATATAATATCACGTGCAATCATGGTCAAGATCGCAGTCGCAGGCGGCACCGGAAGTATGCTTCCCCTTCTACATATGCTTACCCCGCCTCTATCGAGACACCAGATGACACTCCTCTATTGCTAGAAGTATGAGCATACCGTACCTTGCTGACGCTGTCCAAAGACGTCGCAACCAACTTGCTCAAAGCCACAATAGCCTCTGGCAAGCACGAAATCACCATCTTCACGCGATCTGCGCCAACTAAATCCCACCCATCCCCCAAAGTCACCAACAAGCAAGTCGACTACACGGACCTCAATGGCCTCACCACGGCTCTCCAGGGCTTCCACACCCTCCTATCCTTCTTCGTCGTCCACCTCGACACCGACAACATCGCCCAGAAGAACCTAATCCATGCCGCCATCGCCGCAGGCGTCTCCCGCTTCGCACCCAGCGAATGGGGCATCGCAAACTACGCCGGCGTCCCCAGCTACGATAACAAAGACTTCATCCGGAAGTACCTCGAAGACCTGGATGCCAAAGGTGAACTAGGATCGATGCAGTACTGTCTCTTCCAACCGTCCATCTTCATGGACTACTTCGCCCATCCATACCCGCTCGAACGCGACCTCTACACCTGGCCTTTCTTCCTCGACTTCGAAAACCGACGTGCCATGGTTCTAGATGATGGAAACCAACCCATCGTCATCACCGCCATCCAAGACGACTGTGAGATACTCGCTCGCGCGCTAGACGACACGCGCCCGTGGCCGAAGATCGGTGGTATCAGAGGTTGCCGCACTTCCATCAACGAACTGCTCGCTCTAGGCAAGAAGATCAGAGGCGGAGACTGGCTCGTCGAGTATGTCAAGAGCGAGGACCTGGAAAAGGGAGAGCTGAAAGCGAGTTGGTTGCCGCTGATCAGTCATCCCACTGTTACGGACGATGTGAGGGAGAGCTTCAGCAAGGCCTTTGTCATCATGTTCTTTGAGGCAATTAAGAGGGGGGCTTGGGATGTTAGTGATGAGTTCAACCAGCGGTTCCCGGAGTACAAGTTCATGAGTGCGGAGGAGTATTTAAGCAGGGCTTGGGAGGGGAAGCCTTAAATGGAGATTATTGGATACATGACGAGGTGCATCAAGGTGAACAGGGACGGTAGCGAATGAAGGCATCTTCATATAAATATCTACAAGAAGAAAATAGCAAAGTATATACAACCACCCTCCACCTCACCTCACGAGCCCTCCCCATCTACAAAAAGTAACTCTTGATCTTGGGCAAGATTCCCGTCCAAGCAACTCCCGTCGTAGGCTCCATGTTGTAGATGTAATCGGCCCACCACGGTCCCGCTGCCCACCAGATCCCTCCCAGCCAGACATCGCTGTTCTCGCCCATGTACTTTAGTCCATCTTGCAACGCAGAGATACACTGCGCATTATTGCCACCCGCAAACTCACCAATAACACCCTGCTTCTTGTTATCCTTGAGCCACTTGGTCGCAGCCTGAAGTCTCTCTTTGAAAATCGTGGCGCTAACACACGTGGCCGAAGTACCAGAGCCGTCAGTGTCGAGGTACTGGTGCATTTGGTACACAAGTTTGTTCTCTGGATCCTTCAGGTTAACCATGCTGGCACCGTTGCCGGAGGAAATCCATGTCCATGCGCCGGTCCAGCTGTTGCCCTCGGGGGTGATGTATTGTTTTGTGGCGCCTGCGGCGCGGACGCCGTCGATGGCGGCTTGGTTTAGGTCGAAGACGAGCTGTTGGTCCATGTCGTGGTATTCGTTGTTTGTGTCGAAGACTACCATGTCGTTGTCTTTGTACTCGGCGGCGACGTTGGTCCACCAGGTTTTGAACGCAGAGGTGTCGGTGATGATGTTGCCTAGGAACCTCCCGTAGTTATGGGGCTGAATCATGGCGTAGGAGCCTTTGGAGGTTATGTGGTTTACTTGCTCGGTGAGGTTGCCAAGGTAGAGGGGGTCGAAGGCGCCGGTGAGGGAGTTGGGGGTTAGGCGCTCCATTACTGGGTAATGTTAGGTCGGGGTTTTGAGGAGTTGTGGGTTACGGAGGTATGACTTACGGAAGTTCAAACGGAACATGTTCATTCCCTCGTCCATGAACTTGTCGATGGTGTTGAGATCGTACCAGGTGTATTCTTTTCCGTAGACACCTGTGAAGTTCTTCTCGCCAAATTCGGCACCAGACTCGTTGATTCCGAACCACTTCATCTTGCGAGAAGTTTGGCGTTTCTCAGCAGGAGCCGCGAAAGCGGTGCTGGCCAGAGCGGCCGCCGCCAAAAGAGTCTTGAATAACATGGTGTAGAGATGCGAAGAATACTTCCACAGTCCTATGTTTCACCTGCTGGGCAAACATTACTCTT